TTTTTTTATGTGTATGAGTGTGTTGCCTGCATGTGTGTTACGTGCACCTGTGTAGTGCAATGCCTGTGGAGGTTAGGAGAGGGCGTTGGATTCCTCAGAACTGGAGTTATGGATGGTTATAGCCACCATGTGGGTGCTGGGAATTGAACACAGGTCCTCTACAAAAATAGCCAGTGCTCTTAATTCCTGAGTCATCTCTTCAGCCTACTGGAATAATTTTTAAAATGTAATTAATTTATTTGTTTTAAAATTTATTTTGTGTGCTGTATGTGTGTATGTGCCTGTGTTTGTGAGTGCACTTATCTGTATCCATGTATGGAGGCCAGAGGTTGGTGCCAGTGTTTTCTTCTATCACCCTCCTTATTTTTTGAGATGTGGCTCTCACTGAATCTATAGCTCATGATTTTGGCAAGACTGGCTGGCCAGTGATCTCTGGGGACCCTCCCATCTCTGCCTCCTCCAGCACCAGTAATGGTGTTAGGGTTATAGATGCATGCAGACTCACTTGGCTTTTACTTGGTGCTGGAGATTCAAACACAGGTCCTCATGCTTGTACAACAAGCACTTTACCCACCGAGCCATCTTCCCAGCCCTAAACTTTTGAGTCATTTTTGAAAAGTGCAGAACTTCTCATTTAGGGCTATACAGGGTGGCCTATGCCTATAATCCCAGCACCTGGGAGTCTGAGGCAGGGCCATGAATTTGAGTCGATCCTGGGCTATATAACAACACCTCATGGCACAAACAGCAGTAAAAAACCTTCTAAATCCGTGTTGAATGGTGATGAACATCCGTTTGTGCCCCTCCTCATGCTCTCCTCCCTCCAGGAGCCTGGCCCCACAGCTCAGAAAAAAAAACACCAGAATGCAGCATCAGCTCCCACGGGAGGTACTCAGAAGCCAGGCTTGGCATCCAGACTCCTGCACATCAGGAGTTCAGGTTTTAGTAGCCAGGCATTTGATGAGTTGAATTACAGCTCTAGAGACCCAGACACAGGGGGACCGAGGCACAAGCTAACAGGTCCAGGGAAAGCCCTTCCCTCCCCAAAGGGAAAGCCCTCCCTTTGGATACTACATGCTCTCCTCTGTCCCCCACCCCCGTGTCCCACTCCAGGCAGAGCTAGGCATCACCTCTTTTTCTAGAAAGATGTTCTGAAACTCTTATCCCCACCCTTGGTACTCTAAGGATGCATTGTGATGCATTTTAGTTGCTTCCTGTTATCTTTCCTGTAAATGTTCAGCGCTTTGAAAGGAGATGTTCTGTTTTCCGTCTCCCTCCTGGTCAACAGCCGAAGCCAGTGAGTTAGTGGCAGGTCTGCTTTAACCCACTTTAAAGTCTCAGCATAATGCTGTGCCACAGAACGGATTTATGGGTCTGTTTGTAAGTTCTTGACTGGAAATAATGATCCATCAGAAGAGATTCTGCTTTCTCTCATGAGAGGTAATTAACCTGAGAACCATAAGCCCTTGTATTTTCTCCTTCATATTTCTGCCTTCCTGTACGCTCACCTCCCACATCATTATAAGAAAATAAAGACAAAATGTGTCCTTGCGTCATTCTCCTCTGTCCCTGTGCTCCCAGGTTCGTGCTTCAATTTCTCTCTGTCTGAAATAACAGCGCTGCCAACAAGCACCAATAGTTTAGTCCTTAAGATTTATCCTCACACAGTATCACAACATTGTCACATAACATTTGTAACAAATACCCTGAAGGTACAATGGGGGAATAATTAAATGAAAAACGATATATATATGTATATATATGTGTGTGTGTGTGTGTGTGTGTGTGTGTGTGTGTGCGCGCGCGCGCTATTGTATTTTTGCCTAAGTTTTATTGATTAACTAATTTATTTGACACAGCACCTCATGTATCCCAGGCTGGCTTCAAACTGGATATGTAGCTGACAATGACCTTGAACTTCTGATCCTTCTGCCTCCACTCCCTAAGTGCTGGGATTACAGGCACGTACCACCATACGTGGTTAATGCCATACTGGGGAACAAACTCAGGGCTTTGTGCCTGCTAGGTGAGCACTCTACCAACTGAGCTACATCCCATAGCCCATAGGCATAATTTTTTTAAGTTTATAAAAGCATGGGTGAATCATTACAGTGCCATGTTAAGAGAAAACAATAGTAGGGAACAAAATCATAGGCCAGTGGGATCCCAATTAGTACAAACGCATGTATAGAAAAAGTTCTGGAGGAAAGCAAAACATAAATAATGATGTTAAATGGTGAAAATACAGTGACTTTGAATTTTCTTAATATTTTTATGTTTAAAATTCTGTTTTCTTAATAATTGTATATATTTATAATTTTCTAAAGAAAAAATTTAAATAAAAACTCATGTCAAATAAATGTTCTCTCCCTCATACTCTCCTTCTGCCCCTCCCCCCACCTCCTTCACCTCCTATCCTCTTAAGACACGCTGGGTAAAACAGAACTTTAATAACTTCCTGTCTGTCTCCATAGAAAATCAAGGACTTTGAGCATTTTCCATAAAATTTGATTTAAAAACCCTAGTGGTAAACACTACCCTTCATCAGTTGTAATTCATCTTCCCTCTTCCCATCTTTTCCTTTACAGAAGATATCTTTAAGAAGACAGCTTGCAGCAAAGACCATGTTTCAGCAAACTAAAACTTTGTCCAAAAGAAATACAGTGCTTCTCAGAGTGGTCTCAGCAGGATGACTTCATCACCCTAGCAGTGTGCTGCTCCCTCTGTGTCTGTCCTAATGTCCTTGTGACCATCAGGTAAAATCTTTTGAAATGAGTTATTTTAACAGACCACCTGCTTCCCACCAACCCCATGTGCTGTAACCACCTACCTAATGTTCCCACCAATGTACTTGGAAAATATCTTGATTTATGGATTTCTTCTCTGCAATATAAAAACTTGCCTAAAACTATTTCCAAATTGGAACATGTTATTTGGGGCAACTGAAACCCACATTCCTAGGTCACTGTCACTCATATTTAGCTCACAAATAAACTGTCCCTGTGAGATGAAAGTTCTGTTTTTACATTGACAATAGTGAAACTCTCTCTTTTTTTTAATATTTATTTTTATTTATGGGCATGTGTTTGTCACATGTGTGTTCAGGGGCCAGTGGAGGCCAGAAAAGAGAACTAGATCCCCTGGAGCTGGGGTTACAGGTGGGTAAGCCAGTGGACATGGTGGTGCTGGGAACTGAATGTAGATCTTCTGGGAGAGCAGTGGGTACTCTTAGCCACAGAGCCATCTTTCCAGCTTGAGACCCTATCTCTTAAAACAAAGTTAATAAGAAAAGAAAATAGGGCATGGTGGCACACACTCAACTCTAAACTCTTAGGAGGTATAGGGAGGAGAAGTCCAAGGTGATCCTTAGCTACAAGGCAAGTTCCAGACCAGCAGCCTAGGCTGCATAAGAAGATCTACACTTGCATTTCCCAATGATTTTTGCTGCTTCTGGGATATCAGTATTGATATGCCTCTCCTGCAAGACAAAGTAAATTCTTTTCTAATTTGAGTAAATGTCTATTTTTCTTTTCTAAATGAATAATGCCAAATGTATTTTCAGCTTCCAACTTGCAATATGATTTTTGGCAACCAAAGGTTACAGAACACAGTTTAGATCTCATGCAGACAACACACTTGTTCCCCTGGCCCCACCCCCATCACACTACTACCTTCATTTTTTATTTATTTTTATTTTTTGGTCTTTTTGGGGGGGGGTCTTTTTGAGACAGGGTCTCCTTGTAGCCCCAGCTGGCCTGGATTTGCTATGGAGACCAGGCTGGCCTCGAACTCCCAGAGATCTCTCTGCCTCTGCCTCCCGAGTGCTGGGATTAAAGGCGAATGCCACCATGCCTGGCTTTTTGGTCTTTTAAAAAAATATTTTATTTATTATTTTTATGTGTATGTGTGTATTGCCTGCATATAGCTAAGTGCACCCGTGTTGTGCAATGCCCGAGGAGAACAAAAGAGGCTGTCAGATCCCCTGGAACTGGAGTTACGGACAGTTGTTAGCTGCCATGTGGATGCTGGGATTCGACCCAGGGTCTTCTGGAAGAACAACCAGTGTTCTTAACTGCTGAGCCATCCCTCCAGCCATCGCCCCCTGCTTTTTTTCAGTCTTTTTTGAAACAGGGTCTCTCTGTAGCTCCAGCTTACCTGGAACTCACTATGTAGACCAGGCTGGCCTTTAACTCACAGAGATCCACTTGTCTCTGCCTCCCAAGTCCCGGGACTAAAGGCATGCACCACCATACCCGGCTACCTTCATTTTTTAACAAGTTTTTAAACCCTCCAAGACTCAGTTTCTTCATTTGTAAAATGAGATGCTGAGAACTCATAATTACTGTAAGGTTTTCTTAGATAACGAGACTATCGCTTTCTCATCACAATCCTTAGTATTAAATATAGCATTTGGCACATATGGGCTAAGTCTTGCTTTCTCAGTTTCTCTTCATTTACCTGAAATCATAAAGCTTAAGCCAACTTTTTTCCCAATCATAGAATAGCATCATCAGTTATATTTGAAGATGGAAGGAAGTCAGCCTCTAACATCTCTTTGCCATGCGAGGTGAAGAAAGCAATGTAAAGACAAACAAAAATGCCCATTCTGTCACAAAGGGAGGGGAAGAGCAAGTGGCAGATTGCCATTTAAGATGCCAATAAAGCCAATGTAGTTGACAAATAAGGGACTCTAAAAGAAATTGAACTCTCTCTCTCTCTCTCCTCTGTTCTCTCTCTTCCTCTCTCTTTCCTTTGTATCTCTGGAGGCAGGGTCTTGCTACATAGCCCAGGCTAGCCTTGAACCCACAGCAACTCTCTTGCTACAGCCTCCAGAATGCTGCGATTGCAGGCATGCCCAGTTGAAGCATCTCAGCAAACCCATGCTCCCTTCCTGCCTCCAATGCTCTTGGCTTTGCCTAATATATATATATATATATATATATATACATTTATATATGTATGTATGTATAGTAAGTTTCAGACAGGAGGAAGGCACATACCCACTAAATTGTCCTTATCCAGCTTCTCAGGTGAATCCATCTCATTCTTGAGAAGCTTTTAAACCTGGCAGATGGTCCTGGCTTAGGAACCAAGGTGGCTTCAGGGAGCACCTGCAGTGTATGGAGTGTGAAGGCAGGAAGACAGAGCCAGGGAGGCTCCCTCTCTGAGGAGCTCACCCTGAGGAGTAGTTACCCTGGTGTGGGAAGCCTGGAAACAGTAAACAAAACTTATCTTCCCTGACTTTACACATTGTTCACAGAGAAAAGTGAAAAGAAGCTTCCTATAAAGTATCACTATGTAATTTTTGTATCATTTACTTACTGCAAAATATATCTAGGGATCTTCACCACAATGAAGTATCTGGTAATCAAGGCAAGTATATCTGTCCTTGTGTTTTATAATACAATAATGTAATCCATTTCAGCTGATGGACAGTTGAGACTAATGTCCTACATTCTAAATTCTGTGTCTTAGGAGACCCTATCGGCTGTTCCCTTACATAACACTTCCCTCCCTCTATCAATCTCTCTAAAACTCTTGGTTGTCATTTTTAGACAGGATCTCATTCTAACCAAGGCTGGCCTGGAACTCATTGGGTAGCCCAGACTGATTTGAACTTCTTGCAGTTCTTCTGCCTCAGCCCCTTCCTCCTCACCACATCCATCAGTGCTTAGGATCACAGGCATAAGCCACTACACCCAGCTCCTTTTATGCAGCCTCTTGCTAAAGGACCTTTGCACATATTGCAATACACATAGACATAGTTCTTCTGTTTTATTTTCTAGACCAGCTAGATTCGGCCTGCCACCTGTTTGCTCTTCTTTAAGCCAACTGCTATTAAGCACTGCCATTTCATTCCTTCTGTATCATATGACCACTTTTGTTCTACTCCAGCGGTACCAAGTATCTGTGACCGAGCCTACATAGGCTGCAGAACTTTCAATATTACCTGTCCCTTGCTGTGCATGGTAGTACACACCTTTAATCCCATCACTTGGGAGGCAGGGGTGGAGGATCTCTATGAGTTCCAGGCCAGCCTGGGTCACATAGTGAGACCTTGTCTCAACAAACAGTATATATATATATGGTCCCGTTATTTTCAAAAAGGGCTGCTGGCTCCTGCCTTACACTAAATTTCCATTTGGGGAGTGACTAGAACTCTCCCATTGCTTCTGCAGTTCTTGGAACAGCCCAGGGTCAGAGCTGATGTTCAGCAGGTATTTACCCAATCAATGAATAAGCAATTTGTCCATGATAACAGCTCTTGTGTGGCAAAGCTCTTTCTCAAACACAGCACCCCAGCTTCCTGGCCCAAGATTCCTCCTTACACCCTATTCCTGGAACCAAACACCACGGTGAACTTATTCCATTACTGAAAATGCCTCTCCTCACATCCCTATTCCAAATATTTGGCTTCCATCTGTGTGAAAACAAAACAGTACAAAACCAACTGGTCTGTTGGTCAGGTCATCTTGTCTCCTAAATTTTCTTCTCCAACCATCTAGTTATTGTCGTCCTAGTGATGTCTTCAAAAATTTCTCATACCATGGTTGGTTTTACCAGCTGCTTCATTAATACTAACTTCCTTTCCCACAAATCAGCTGGCAGTAATAACCACGGCTGCTACCCAGAGTTTGTAATTATAAAAATGAATGTGGAATTATGGGGTTTGTTGTTGTTGTTTGTTTGTTTGTTCATTTTAAGACAGGATCTCCCTGTAGCCCCAGTTGGCCTGAAACATACTATGTAGACAAGGCTGGTCTCAATCTCACAGAGATCTACCTGCCCTGTCTCCCAAGTGCTGGGCCTAAAGGTGTGCACACACCATGCCCAGCAAATATGGCATTTTAGAATTTTAGGAAAGGTGGCTGGGCCCAGAAACCCAGATTCCAGGAGACAGGCAGGCAAGCCCATATAAGGCGGTGTCTACTTGGTCTGTAATGCCTTCCTCCACCTTTCCCCTTTCCCCAGTCTTGCTAGTGTTCTGTTCAGGAGTGGTGCCAGAGGTGCAGGGGCTGAGGAAGCAGGCTTCAAGTCCACACTGCCATGGTGGAAAGAAACCCTTAGCCATGTGATCTTGGGTCACATTTTTCTCACCTGTAAAATGGAAAGAATATAATCTATCCACAACCTATATAAAAGAGAATCATGTGAATGCTGTGTGTAAGCAGAATACTATCTGGAGTTGTTAAGTGGTAACATCATCATCAGGAGTGGGAGCTGAGTCCTGAACTTCGTAACTCAATTATCTTCTCTCTAAAGGGGAATATTGGGTTAATTATCAATGTCTCCCTTTTCCTCTAGTTTAAAGTGAATGCAAGATTGATTCCATTTGTGAATACTTTTATCCGTTTTACTAACACTACCTTCATTTATTATATATTTAAAAACTTAACAGAGGGTGTAATGGCGCACACCTGTAATGACAGCACTCAGGTGGCAGAGGCAAAAGGATTGCCAGAAATTTGAGGTCAGCTTGGGCTACATAGTGAATTCTAGACCAGCCAGGGTGACATATTGAGAATACTAAAACAAAAATAAAAAACAGAGAAGAAAAACCCTAGAAGCTTCCAGGCCCATTCCTGACTCTGTATTGTAGATGCAAAGATCCCACCTGTTTTTCTCCTAGCCTTTGCTTCATCACCTCGCCATCATCCTTTGTCATGAACCGCTGATGTGAACAGCAATAGAAAAGCTTCCTGCTTCCACCATTTCTCATGTCTAGGCCATATTCAGTTCTTGTCCCCGACGGGACCACCCCCTCCATTTGAACTGGATGCTCCTCTGTGGTCAGGTGACAAAGGCTCAAGCTTAACTTATTTTTTTAAATTAATTTATTTATTTTTTATGTGTATGTTATGCCTGCATGTGTGTAGTGCACCATGTTGTGCACTGCTGGTGGAGGACAGAAGAGAAATCGGATCCCCTGGAACTGGAGTTATGGATGGTTGTTAGCTGCCAGGTGGGTGCTGGGATTCAAACCTGGGTCTTCTGCAAGAACAATCAGTGCTCTTAACCATTGAGCCATCTCTCCAGTCCCACTTAGCTTATTTTTAAACACATTCCCCACCCTCCATTCCCTCCACTCTGGTGCCTAGTAGTGGTCAAATAAAATTTGTCAGTACTGCCAATCAAGGAGTGCAAGGTTCAAAACAACACAGACGTTAATTGCTCCCTGGGGCCGCTAGAAAGAGTCTCAGGCGAGCTTGCTGTGCATCCCCTTGGAAGATGACTAAGCAGCTGTATTTTTTTCTTCCCACAAAGTGTTCCAACTGTCTCCACCTCGAAAGCAGTAGTGGCTTCAAGTAATGAACACTCTGAGTCCCCACAGAAGGGCCTGGGGAAACAGCATGAGAGCCTGTTTATTGTGTATCAAATATCCTCTACTAAGCCTCAGGCTATGAACCATTAATAACATTTTCTCTGTTCATCACATGGGAGGAAGTATGGGGGGGATTTTGCTGTTTGGAGGCTTTCACTGGGTCAATTCCTTCACTAGTTGGAGTCTTGCTCCCAGGGCAGCTATTTTTAAATGCCTAGACTCTGTTCCCACCCTGAGGTATAACACATCCATTCACACCTGTCTGTTTGACTTTCCTAAAGTGGTGATGTCTAAAAGAATTTAAGGTACTCCATTCCATCCCTGAAGGCTTCCCATTTCAGGAACATTCTTTGGCCTGAATTATCTGTCATCATTTCTTGCTAAGATGGACAATACCCTCCAGGACATTTGTTGCTGCCTTAGAGAAAGTTCCCTTTTCTTTAAATGAAGTCTCTGTTTTCACTACACACGATTCATAGTATTTTATTCCTTCTCATTTATCCAACTTTGGAATTTCCACATCTTTAAATAACATATTTGATCCCTAGATCTATAAAGATAGTCATAGTGATAAATTTTTAGCTCTGGCCTAGATTTCCCAAGTAATCAATATTTTTCAACTCTTAGTCAATTAAACATCTCTACCTGAATGTTCTCAACTCAATATTCTCGCAGTAGAAATAAATCTTCCAAATAAAGATCCTTCATGATGGAAATTGTTTATTTATACATACGAAATAGAAATAATATATTCAATGTGTGCATGGATTTTGCATGTAAAATATGTAACCATACCTGCTGCCCAACATCACAGCAAGAGCATTACCAATACCACTAAAGCTATCTGAACATTCCTCCCCAGTCACATCCTACCTCTCCATAACTATAATTCATAATTTTGCTGTCTGCTTGCTTTTAAAATAAAGCTTTTAAACCACATACACATGTATAACTTAGTTTTATTTGCTTTTGACCTATGTGAAAATCTGCCCATAGTCTTCTATGATTGCTTTTACCATCCATATGATGTTTCTGAGATTAATTCCCACTATTTTGTGAAAACATTTCTTGTTAATAATATTGTTAATAATATTCAGCACTTCTTAATAGATAGTAAATATGTCACAGTTCACTTACTTGGAATAATTTTAGGTTTTCGTTATTACAAGTAATGCCACCATGGATGTTTTTATGTAAGTTTCTTTAGACTCTAAAATCAAGATCTAAACATCCCGAAACAGAACTGATAGGTTTTACATTCAACAATACAAGATTATAATAATAGTCAACTTTGCAAAATTGCTTTCCAAAATGGTTTGTCTGCATCAATCTTTTAAAAAATTAAATCAATTTACTTAAAAAAATTTATGTATATGTCTCTGAGTGTTTGTGGATGTGCCACATGTATTCAGGTGCCTGTGGAGGCCAGGTGGATCACTTGGAGCTGGAGTTCCAGGTGATTGTGAGGTGCCTGGTGTGGGTGCTGAGAGCTAAACTTGGGTCCTCTGGAAGAGCAGCAAATGCTCTTAAGTTCAGAGCTACCTCTCCAGTCCAATCAATCTTTTTTTAAAAGAAGATTTATGTGTTTTATGTGTACATGTGTGTAGTGGAATGAGTTTATGTGCACCATGTGTATGCAGGAGCCTGTAGAGACCAGAAGAGGGTGTTGGATTCTCTGGAACTGTAGTTACAGATTGTTGTGAACCACCATGTGGGTGCTAGGAACTGAACTCTGGTCCTCTGTCAGGTCAGTAAGTACTTCTAACTCCTGAGCCACCTCTCCAGCCTATCTGTAT